GCTTGTGCTTGTGCTTGTGCTTGAGCTTGATTAATTTTATCGTGTTTGAGCTGGAGCAGGAACTTAAGCATAGGACTTAGAGAAATCACCTGTTATAAAATATAAAATATTATTTTTAATCTTTTTTAATATTTTAAAGTTAAAGTTTTCAAATTTAATTTAATTTGAGTATATTTTATATTAATATATTTTTTTAGAAGAGTAGGGTCACGAATTAACGAGTTGAGTCGGGTTAGCCTGAGCTTGGTTTTTTAGCTCATGAAGTTCAGTTCGCGAGCCAGCTCATAACTCGGCTTGACCTACTTATACACTTAGGCTCAATCTTAATTTGCATTACTTTTGCAGGGCTATGGGATGACAGAAGCTGGTCCGGTGATATCATTTTGTATGTCTTTTGCGAAGGAGAAAATGGACTCGAAGCCGGGATCATGCGGCATGGTGGTGAGGAACGCTGAGCTAAAGGTGGTGGATCCACGCACTGGAGCATCTCTCCATCGTAACCAACGTGGAGAGATTTGTATTAGAGGAGAAAATATCATGAAAGGTATGTTTTTCAAGTGATATGTATATAAATATATTAATTTTATATTGTATATGATCATTAATTAATCGCATCTTTCAGGCTATTTAAATGATAAATTATCGACCGAGAGCACTATAGACAAGGAGGGGTGGCTTCACACTGGAGATATTGGATATGTTGATGACGACGATGAGATCTTCATTGTTGATAGGCTTAAGGAGATCATCAAGTACAAGGGATTCCAGGTGGCTCCAGCTGAAATTGAAGCCTTGCTTCTCACCCATGAACATGTCGCAGATGCTGCTGTTGTCCCGTATGTTGTTCTTAACTCTATATCTAAATATAAGCTAATTAATTATCTATGATAAATTTTTCCTTAGGTTTATTAGCCATCTATTTTGCATGCAGAATGAAAGATGAGGCTGCTGGTGAGGTGCCTGTAGCTTTTATTGTGAGAGCAAAGGGATCCGACATCAGTGAGGATGATGTAAAGCGCTACGTGGCTAAACAGGTAATTAATTAATAGCTTAG